ACTGTCTCGAAGTCCTGCAGCATTCATCCTCATAATCCTGCCTGCTCTCTTCAACACCACACTTGAAGACAATTATAAACCATCATTTTCTTCCCTAATCAGAGCCAAGATTTGTGTAGGAACTTCTCTGCAGCTTATCTTTTCCCAGCACAGGAGACCCATAGTTATTGGCCTCAGACACTCAGATGCATAACTAGTCCAAGCCTCCCAGGACAGCCAGCATCTCTGTCGCTGCCATATGCTTAATTAATGCTGGGTGGGAGAAGCCATGAGAAGCCTTGCTGCACCCCGCATGGGAGAAAATGTTTCACTTTAGCAATTCTCACTCATGCAGTTAACCATTTCCTCGGCTGGCTCTGGCAGCTGCTGGCCTTGGTCAGGGAAGGATGTGCCTGGATTAGTGGTGCCAGGCAGCAGGCTGATGGATGGAATGTCCCTCCCCACTGCCTCCTTTCCAGCAGCACCCTGGGGTGGCCCACCCGTATCTCTGGCCAAGAAGGTGCAATTATTGCTGCCTGGAGTTAGGCGTTTAAAGACTTTGTGGGTTTGGTTGTAAACTCTGGAAAACAGGATGTGTTTAAACAGTATTTTAAACAATGAAGGAGTCTGGTCCAAGAGGAGGACTCGTAGGTATTCCTGGGGAACACCTAATGGAGGTCACATCCACCATACTCCTGTTACCTGCCAGCCCGGCTTTCACCTGCAACACCCTGCCCAGGGCAAGGATGTGCACAGCACCTCACACAACACAGCCCTGCCTGCGTTCTCCCCTGCAAAGGGAGAACCAAACACCCCAGCACTCTGAAGGTAAAGTTGGGAGAGGAGGAATTTGCTAGAGCTACCCCCTGCTTTGCTGGTGCTTTACTTGGAGAGGAGAGGATGTCACCCCTCGGCCACGCACAAATCCTCCCTTGCACCATGAGCTATTTGCAGACAGGTTTTAGCCTTGTTCCTTGGGGATGCAGCCATCTTAAAAGCCAGGTATGCAAGCAAACAGGCCTGTTACGGGCAAGAGCAGGTGTCACTTGCCCAGCCTGCTCTCCTCCTCCACTCAGGGCTCATGAGTGCCTGCTCGCACTTGGACCACACTTCACAGCATGCTCCCAAGGCACTGTGCAGCCTGGGCATCCCACAGCACATCTAACAGGCAAAACAAATAAGAAAAACATCAAACTGCATCTTTAATTTTGAGCAGTCTAACACTGCCAAATTCACTAACCCCTTTCTCCTCTAGTGGTGAGCATTGGCTTCATCATTCCTTTCTCCCTTCTATTTTGCAGCCAATTCTGCTTTTCTTCCCCACTCCACTCCTTTAACTTCCAGTGCTTTGTGCGCTGAGAAATGCTGTACATTCCTAACCCCAGCTCCCCGTCCTGCAAAACAGAGAAATCAGAATAACCGAGTGTAAATTAGCAGACTTTGCTAGCACCTAGGTGTTTCTGAAACTTGGAAACTGTACCACATACATAGGTGTCCAGTAAATGAGCTTCACAAAGTCATTCATTACAGAAAAGCAGAGAGCTTGCAAATTATGCCTTGAAACCAAAGCCTCAACACTCCTAGCATCCCAGTAAGAACAACTCACAGCCTACCCTAAAATCAGTGGCCAGGAGGTTTGTGTTTGCCCAAGATGAATGAACAAACGACTGGAGAGCTGAGAAATAGAAATCAGTGCAAGGACTGAGGCATAACTCATGACACAGCACGTCTGCCCACTTGCTACGGAAACTATGTTTGGCAAGTATCAGGTGTCTGAATTTCTGCTTATGTACGTCTCCCAGGACAGCAGTATATTAATAACACATGCAGCCTAAAAACAGAAACTATCACCAAGAAAAGCGACCCTTCTGCTGAGAGTTCCTTGCTGTAGCCTGGATATTGTTGTGCTTTACTCAAACAGCACAGAATTTTGTTTCCTTGCTGTTCAGATTTGCCATCTAAGCTGATCTCAATTGAAGGAAGACCAATAAAGAAAAGGAAGGAAAAGGAAATATACAGCAGGAAACAAACTTTATTGTAAGCACAGCTTTCTTGAACATGTTCCCATCAAGGCTCGCACTGCCACGCGAACGCAGAGAGTGGCAACCAGGGTGCTAGCTTAAAGGCACAAACCTTTTCAAGAGATCTGCAGAAGCGTAAGGCCCTGGAGGCTCACGCACCTAGACAGGATAGCCCAGGCATGGCAAGCAGCGCGAAAAGAAGCCACAGAGTCAAACACAGAAAAAAGCAGCAAGCAGACACAGGCTTCCAGGCCAGGGCAGAACACCGGGCACAAAGAGGAGCACCGCAGCAGAAGCAGAGTAGGAAGTAAGCAACTCCAGGTTCAAAATGCAAGCCAAGGGGTTGGAATGGGAAGGAGAGGAAGGGAGCTGCTCAGGCTTTGTTGAACATGGAACTGCACTGGATAAGTTACTCTAGATAAACTAAGCTTTCAACTCAACAGCTTTGGAAGGAGTATTAGTGGCAGCACCAAAGAAACAGTCATATTTGATTAAGATCCATACCCGGTTTCTCCCATATTCTTAAATTGTGTTTGAGATGTGTTAGTTACACCAATGCAGCCAGTCACTCCAAACTGCCTGGACTAGCCAGGTTTCTTTATAAATCCAGGAGGTCATTTCCCAGGAAACCTGGTGCTGTGTTCGTCAGAGGGCAGCGTGCATCCACACAACCGGAGCATGCTGCCCCTGGCGTCTGACTGCACCCAGGATACTCCGCTGCAGACAGGAGAAAGTGTAGCGACATTTCTAGTTCATCTTGAGCCAACAGCCATCTTTATTGACACAACACAAAGTTAGGAACATGGATTTGAAAAGAAAACTGTTCATTCTGGACAGATGTGTTTTGCTTCTCTTCTGCTGCTCTCTGCTGTGTGACATCGAGGTAGAGAAGTTTTTGAGAGCTGCATGTCAGTTACTAACAGATAAGCAATTTCTGCCAACCACTCTGATCATGTTCATCTCAAACCTTAGTCAAGGATGTATTTTCCACAGGTTTGAGGTGTAAATGCTGCCCGTTTCACATCAAACAATGCACAGAGGAGAAAGCCTGCAGATGTACACAGAAATACTAAAAGCAATACACTGACAGCCCGACTGTCAGTGACCATTGGGCTGGCCAACAGATTTCCCTAGCATGGCTAAGATGACAACCATTTGATATAAACACGCAGTCATCCAAGTGGCTTCCCCGACAGCTTAGAGCGACAAACGAGAATGATCTAATTTGAGTCACAATGTCATTACGATCGCATGGTTATTCAAGTGATCAGGCCAGATAGGACAGAATTAGCCAGGCCAATGGTTCAGATTTATTCTCCTCTGCCAGGAGTCCGAGTCTTAAAATAGCCAAGAAATTAGTGCCAGCCACCTACCTGAGCAGCCGGTTACTATCACCTGGGCTTTCTTCTGAAATCTTCTGCCAAGCCTGACCTACAGCCAACAGCAGTAGACTGTTTCATCTCAAACAAAAGATCAAGGCTAAGTATGTGCCACAAAACCCAAACTGGAATTTCTACAGGTCTCAGATTTGCAATAAAATCCAAATTCTAATTGCACAGCCAAACTGCATCTTCCAACAGGACTGGATATCTGCAGTCAGCTATGGCAGGTTACGTTGGAACAAGAATAAATCGTGATGCACAATAAAAAGCTACACTCAATTCTCTGAACTCTTATTACTGGTGACAAAACCTTGCCTTCACCCACCCAAAGGCTTATTACAATATTGTGATGCGTTTATCATCCCCTGAAGCAGAAGATATCCTTGTTTCACGCAGACAGTGAAACTAATACAGTGACGAGATGCTGCAGGGCCCAAAGGACAATGGAACTCCTGATGCAACCCAGACTGCTCCCATTACTGATGCATCTTCTCAAAGAGCCTTGCTCACTCTGAGAACAGCTGTACATAAGCTATTTGCCACCACCTGCTCCCCTCCACAGTTCAGCAAGAAGTCCCTCTACAAGCAGCCACACTTTGCAGGTCCTTGAACATTTTCTGAACCAGGCAACAGCACATTTATGGCACATAAAACCCCAGAGAATTAGCAAGTTACCTTTGCCTGGTCAGCCCAGAGGTAAAGCAGTACATGAGTACATGCATGCCCCTTCTACACAAGTGTGTGAGGAATGAAAGCGTAGCTGTGGCTCTGGCTAAGCCACCAGCCAACAGAACACCCACCCGACGTCCTCCACAGTAGGGTACACACTCACAAATCTTTTCCCTGCATAGGGAAAGGACTGGGAATCTTGAATGTGAATAACCTCAGCCATCTTCCTCTGTCTCTTACCACCTTCCTAATCCCAGTCCTTTCCATGTCGTCTGTTACTACTCCACATCCTGGCAAAGGATGAGCTTCCCAGGCTGAAAGCAGAGTTGAAAGACACTGGCTTGCTAGGGCAGCATGGCATTCTGCCTCTGCCCAGGACAGTACAGGCAGATCTCGACTGATCACAAACAGGAGATGAAATTCAAGGTATGTCTTCCTTGGGGAAAAAAATCCCTCACCCTCCATTTGTGTAACAATGTGAGAACTTGCATGAAACACAGACATTCAGTTAAATAGAAGAACCACTACCAAGAGCCAACACAGTTGAAAAATGGTTAATTTTTTTTTTATAACCCATCATTAATTACAAATGTAAGATACAGCCCATATCAGCAAGCCAATGGACAGCCTCACATTTTCTTTCAAAACAGTGGGCACTAGAGACAATTTATAGAATTAACTGAAGGTTCTGGCATGACTGCAAGTGTGTCACAGCACGGGCACTTGTGAGCAAAAAGTCAGAAATATCTTCAAAGGCAGAGAAGACCCCAGTAGGTCCCCTGATGGCTAAACAGGAGGTGGAGGATTTGTGAATAGATTCCTTGCCTAGGAAAGATTGAAACAGTCTAGTCAAAGCGAACCGAGCCAGGGCAGCACAACCATTGGAAGCTCCACCTCGCCAATTTTTGAGTCTAGGGAAAACATGGCTACAGCCATCAAAATTTTAAGTCTACTTCTGTTTCTTCAAGTTTGTTCTTTTTCTTGGCTGCTTCTTTGGTCTCTGCACAGCATTCTTAACCCTGGCAGGCGGCAGTCTGAGCGTTATTTCACTGTCCTCTGCATCACCATCCGCCTGGGAAGCTTTCCGGCGCTCGAGCACTGTTGGAGTACAGACTGGAGTAGGATCCTGAAGAGATCAGAAAAACAGGATTCATTGCAAAGCATCTGCCAGAGAAAGTTGTCACTGCCTCTGTGGTACCACACAGCACCTCAGTCCAGCTCTCCTTCAGAACTTCCACGTGTTAAGGGAAATTGTTTTCTTTTTATAACTAGCTATTTCTGTAGACGGTATTTCTTCGGACAAAACTGTCATCTCCAAAAAGGTATATGTGAAAGGTAAATTAATTAACATTTTCTAACATGTCATTATACACATTTGCTTACTAAACTTTCTATTCCCTGACTCAAAGCACTAAGCAAGCCAAGAAGAAAAGAATGGGGGGGAGAAATATATTTGAGACTGGGATACAGAAATGCCACATTCAAGCCCACCGCAGAACTGAAACATCCCAGCTTCGTTATCTCAGTAAGTTCTCACAACTCAGCTGGCTGAATGTACAAGTTATCTTATCTTCCTCACAACCAGCCCTGTCTCAATTATCACAAGTAAATCCAGTAACATTAAAAAAACCCCCACAAAACCAAACTCTCAACAGTGATGAAACAAAACAGAAATGTTAATATTTGACAGACTTTTCAGATTGTCAGTGCCCCAAATCTCAGTCCTGATGACCTTAGGTTTCCTTTCATCCTGCTTCTAGTTTTCGCTGGCTTTTGTTTTCAAAATACTGCAATACCATGCCTGGTGCACACAAGGGAGGAGGGACAGTATACCACGTAAAGGGGACAGACAGCACTAGACTGTATTAATGGTTCCACTTCCTTTTTGTCAAAACAGGCTGGTATTACATCGTAGTGCAGGCCAACAGAAAGATGCCACCAAGGAGATCACTTCGTACTGGTTGGAAGCACAGATGTAGGTGGTGTATAGGTGACAGTCCCCAACACCCTGCACTTCTCCTGCCTCAAGTTAGTGATGAATAGCAAAGGCTGACAGCAGACACACTGCTGCCTTGATGCGCCTCGGGACCAGCACTGCTGGTTACAACACGCTGAGCAGAAGCCTTTGCTGCTAAATACTCCCATAGGGGAAAGAACTGAGAAGACCCAACCACCCTCCCCCATTCAAAAGTGTTAATCCATCTCAAAGGAGCTACTTTGGCACAAAAAGCTCTCAAGTAAATACTATCCAGGTTTCCAAGTGTTGAAACTGATAAGAATAAACCAGTTGCACACCTGAAACATCTGCCCCAGTGTGAATGGTGGAGTGTGGTGCTGGGCATGACCAGGACTGTTTGGTCTTACCTGGCTGCTCAAAGAAATGTTCAGTTTTGTCTTCTTGGATGTTTTAACTTTTTTTCTTTTTATAGAAAGCTCTTGTGCAGCCTAGGAAGAAAGACAGATAAGGTGGATCACTACAAACTTTCTTGTGTGAAGATGCAGTCACTTAACAGTATAGAGGTTTCTTTGCTTCATAACTACAAAATCTTTGCTACAGCAATTAGGTTTGAATTAATAAAATGACTACAGTGCCACAGATCTGGTTTGAACAAACACACCCAAAGCAACATAGGAGCCCCTACTGTGCATTTTAAAAAAGTATTGTGTTAAACAGCATTGCTTAAAATTCAAGTACTTCACCCAAGCACTCTGCAAATGAGCACTAGGCTTGGTTAGCTTGGGCAGGGTCTAGGGATGGAAGCTCTAGTCTTGGGATCTGCCTTTAAATACCTACTCTGCCAAAGCCCCTGTCACTCTTCTGTGATCTACACACAAATATTAAAACCACAGAATATCCAACTGCTTATACTAACAGAAGAAAAGGAACATCTTCCCTTTGCTGTTACTTATTTACTTCTCTAAAAGCAAACCCACACGTACAAGTAGTACAACCCAATGCTACAGTAATTTTCAAGAGCTTCTATACCATTCTTTAAAGCATGTAAGTCTCTCTGGTGCACCAGCTCTTTTACCAGTTCCACACAAAACACAGGATTTTCTTGTATTTAGCACAATCTTAGAATCAAGTTTTGCATAAAACACTCATCAAAACGATGCCAAACTTACAAATCCTGGGAAGTCATAATCGAGCCCCTTTTCAGCCAGTCTCTTCCTTAAAAGTCTCTCCTTTCGTAGCAGTCGCTTTGTCATCTTTGCCTTCTGAACAAGCGAACGTACCCTATTGTACCGCCTGACCGCTGGCTGAGAAGGCTTCCGAAATATTTTGTTACTGTTTATGAAGAGATTTTCATGGACCCTTTCAGGAGGCATGAATTGACCTGTATTATAAACATATGACATCAAGTTATAGCAGAGCTACACTTCTCACCCAATGTACTCACATAACGCTATTCAGTTCTCGTTATAACATTATCCACTGCTGCAGCAGAGCACTAGTACGGCATGTTATTACGAACACAGAAGATGGAAAGTAACTAAATATTCACCAGCAAAAGGACTGATAATGGGTGGATGGAAGAAAACGCTTTTTCAGTTTCACCCAGAAACAGTCAGAGAAATTTATTTTTCAAAAGTTGATGCACATATTTAGCTCATAATCCTTTACAAAGTAAGTGTTGCTATCTCCACGTCTGAGAAACTTGCTAATTTGATTAATCTTTTAATCAATCAAAAAAGCCCCTTATGTGTAACTACACACACTGCAGCTGCAACAGTTATAAATGCTTCATTTAAGAACCCCCAAGATTCTCCAAACAGTCCAAAAACATAACACAATAATGACAAATTTCCTTTGCACATTAGAGGACTTGCACTGTAGCTTATACTTACACTTTAGCAGTCTTTCAGAAAACAGGTAGTTGTTCATTGTGTCTGCAACAATCTTAGCCACGTCATCGGACTCAAACTCTATAAATCCGTAGCCTTTGCTACCTCCAGTCTGCAAGCAACAACAGAAAGAAATCTGAAACAATGCTTCGACACTTGAAGAACTACCGTAAATTATTTCATGCTTCTGAAATCATAGCCCACTCAGATAAACACAAGTAATTTCATAAAGTTCAGTAAAATCATGGATTAGATTTAGTCCTAAACCGGTATGAAATTTTTGGTAAATATATATTTGCACATGAAACAAACTGCTCACCAATACCTATTTGCCAGAAAAAAGCTGCCCTGTGTTGCTGCTGTTCTGTTGTTGCTACCAAGCATATGTAGCAATATTATAAAGTGATGATAAATCCATAAATGAGAAGTTAAATTTATTGAGCACAAACGAACAAGAAATCTAAGACAGAATCTCTTCCATGACACTTACCTACCACCTTGAATCAGCATATTCTGGCAACGCTTCTCACATAAGCGTATTTACTTTTGCAGAAAAGGGGCTACATTAACTGTTGGTGAAACTGCTGCTTTGCAGTCATAGAATCATAGAACGGTTTGGATCGGAGGGAACCTTTAACGATCATCCCTGAGACAATGCCTCATATCATAGCATCATGTCTATCAGCCTAATATTCGTTTTGCAAGTCTTATTTTCAGGCCACCATTATGCATGGTGCCCCCCTCTGCCCACTCATGAAACTGCAACAAAGTTTTCCACGTGGTGCGCACCAAAGGCCGAAGGAAGCAAAGCGGCAAGTTCAGAAGCGCCCGGCGCT